ATATGCGCTGTAGACCGGCTGCTCCATCCTCCAGCATGGGGCAGCTGGGACAGAAGCACCCAGCTTTCCATCCTGGGAGGGCTTTCTAGGCCTGATCTGGAGAGCCTCCCCTGTGCCAGCCTTGTGAGCTGCATGGAGTTGCTGTGGGGGGGAAATGCATTTTAACCTGGAGTTTGTTTGATTTTTTTTTTTTTTTTTTTTTTTTGCCTTTTGCTTGATGTCAGATGATTCAGTCAGTTCTTTTCCAACTGCTTCTGTGTTGTGGTAGCTAATGACTGGCTTAGGGGCATGGAGAAGCTTCAGCAAGGTACCGGTGATGGTGACTGATTGCATTCTTGTCCTTTCCTGCACTGATTAAAAAGACAATGTAGAGACCTTACTTTCTTCTTGCTTCTGCTTTTCCTTTATTTTTCTGTCATTACCTGTGCATGCTTCCCAGAACCTACCCACCACCAGGTCGTTTGCTGGGTGGCGTGAATTGGTGGCATGCTCTAATTTTATGTTGTAGTAAGGCAGAGGCTGCAGTTGCAGATGATGAAAGATTCTGCAGGTTAAAAAGTCACTAAGCAATGAAGCACATACCCTGTCTGCCAGATAGATGGGCCCTTTTTCTGAATGCTGCCCGTTACATTTCATTGCTGGTGCAGTTCCTTCTCTGGCTTTGCTGCTGACCATGACTGTGTTCTCCGGGGCAGGAGGGGGATCGGAGGCTGCTGCGTGTAATCCCCTTGTTTCCCCAGGACAGGCTCTTCCAGCAGGTCCAGTCTCTCCTGGGGGAGTGCAGCAAGGCAGTTCTTGTTGAGGATCAGTCAGAGGGAACAGCTCTGGTGCAGTAAGGAAGGAGCCTGTGTGTAGAGAGTGGTACAGCAAAACATGGTGTGTTTTGAATGTCGAAAATTTCGGGGCAGTGGCAGTTGGTTCTGGGGGAACTGGTTTCAGAGCTTGTGTCCACAAGAGTCCACTGGCCCTTGGGAGGTCATCTATCCAGTTTGCAAGGGAGCAGTAAGCTAGTGGGTGCAACAAAGTAAGGAGCCAAAAAGCTCTGTGAAATAATCTTGTTCCTGTGGGTGCAGTGGCATGGCATGGCATGGGTGGGATGCTGAAGAGAGCTGAGCCCCCCCTCAGCCTCTCCACTGGAAGCCAGCCCCCCTGCTGTGTTCCCCAGAGGGGTGTCTCTAATACACTGGTTGTCGGTGTTACTGGGGAGAGTTATGGGGCATGGGCAGTTGTAGCTGCAGGAGAAAGCTAAAATCTGAGTGCCGCAGAAAATGCTTGCTGTTCACAGCAGCTCTTGAAAGGTTGGTTTGGGGACACGTACACAAGGACCTGAATTGCTGACGTTTCTGTGGAGCTTCTGGAAAGCAGTGAGTGAGTGAGTGGTGGGGCAGGGGGTTAATTTGGTGGCAAATTATCTGTAAATTACAGTGGTGCAGCTCCAATGACTTCTGGTTTGTTGCAGTGGAGTAAATGAGCGAATGTAGTCTCTAGGGCTGATACAGGTAACGGCAGGAAAGGAATTCAGCAGCCTTCGCTTTTCTTGTACTGACCGTGTCCGAGTTGCTCACTCCTGTCATACTGCTTTTTTAAGACTCTGATCCCCTTAAGGTAACCTACAAAAAGAGGTTGTGACTCCTTTTCATTTGTTTTTTTTTCCACTGTAAAGATCCAGTAAAACACTTTTAAAAAAATAGCTTGCTCTGCATGTTTATCCTTGCGATCTGAGGAGTGTCACATCTTATCTTCCCTGTTGCTTGCTGAGAAGCTCCTTGGAAGTAATCTACAGTCCATTTTCTTCTAGCCTTGCCTAACACTACAAGTGATGTTCTTCCAGCTGCTCGTGACATTTTAAAAAACTGAATGACTATTTAAAATGTGTGTGGGAGAGTCCAGCTAAAAGTCCCTTCCTTTTTAAGTTATTCATACTTCACCATCTTGGAATTTGTCTTCCATAGAGGCTTCTAGGAAGACCAGGTCAGACAAGACCTTGAAGGAGAAATGCTTTAATCTCAAAATTAAATTCCTCTGGTTCTTTTGGATCTGACGGAAAGGTGCAGATAAAGATCAGGTGTGTTTAACACAAAAGGGCGTTCTTCCTGCAGTAGTTTTCCTGAGCAAAAGTCAAAGCAGTGTGTAAGGAGGGTGAAGAATGCTAGCATGCAATCTTCTGTTACATAGAGGATGTGAGTTTTCTGTTGCCTGTGTAGAAAGCTGATGCCTTTCAAACCTTCGTGTTAGATGCTCTTAATACCTTCTGCTGCTCTCTAACCTCTCCTCTGTCTAGCAGCTGCATCTTAAGGAGCAGATGAAATCGTTTCAAGGATGGCAGGTCCTAATCTCAGTAACAGTTCCTATCCATTATAGGGTATGAAGTGAAATGATCTGTGAGTGGGTTTATCTCGGATCCCACGTAACATTTTTTCTCAGCAGCAGCAAGAAAGGGAAATTGTCAGCGGAGAGGAGAAGCTGTTTATTTTTAACTTACCCTTTCTTTTTAAGTTCTATTTCATAATTAAAGGAGATAAGGAGTGGAAGCCAATGAAAATACATAGCTAAAGGGATAAGCTGATCTCAAGTTCACTGCAGAGATTATGATAAGTAGTAAGTAACACAGTGGAGACTCTGGGACCTCTTGTTCCTTTCCTGTCCTCCTCCTAGAGTATCAAACCGAGTTCTTAGCTTCCTGTCAAAGGTGACACGGGAGGGCTGATTTAAAGGGTACTGCTTACCAACCTCGCTGCTGCCCTCGGAGCTTACTCCCCCTCACAGTGGTCTGAGGATGCCCCTGTTGAGTATCTGAAGAGACCCCTACTCAGAGCTAGCAAGGAGGAATCCTGCTTATTCATGGAGAAGCATGTACATCCATTGTCTGGGCACACCCGTATGGCACTGAGCGTGGCTGTGCCCACGGGGGCACAAGGGCAGTGAAGATGGGCCCCAGGGAAGACTCCTTGGGGTGGGGTAGCCCTGGGTAAAACGCCTCCACTCTCAGTTACTGCTGGAGAAGCATATTCTACTCCTTACCCTTCAAACGGGATTTCTCTCCTGCAGTTTATTAATCTTGGTCAACTTGACTTCCTCAGATTGACACGAGGATAGCCCTCTGATTCATGCAAGCTGCTAGATTCTTTATTGCTCAGAAGAAGGTGTATTATACTATTACTTTCCATCCCTAGTGGATAGTTGCATCCCAGACTAAATTATTCCTGTACCCAGGTGGCTTTCTTTCATCATTGCTCTTGTCTCTGTGATACTTCTCACAGCTTCTGCACACAGGAACAAGAGGCCCAGGCTGCATCTGGAGATGGCTGTCATTGCAGGTGGTTCTTCCTGTCTGCCAGCCGAGCTGACAAGCAGCATTAGAAAATGAGTCCTGGAGAGGAGGCTGCGTGCCCTTGCAGCAGCAGAACAGTGACAGGCTGTTCTTAAATAACCTTGCAAAATACTGATTGCTACCCCTAGCTTACCTCTGCAATGCTGGAGGACAGCTGAGCTGCAGAGACTCTGCTATGTGACCGTCTCACCTGGGACCCACTTCTAGGATTCGTTTTTACCCTCAGTCCTTATTCGGATGCCCTGTGGCTTCTGCAGCCTCAGTCCCTAGCCTGCTTCTAAGTGTTTGCATGAGTGTCTGTACCACTGCCACGTGCAAAGTTTGAGGGGGAAACAAGGCAGGGAAAGAAGTTTTAGAAGGGAGCCCTAAGCAAGTCTGGGATTCCTCAAATAAAAGATATAAGGATGCGATTCAGTCCTGTAAAGGGCAGGAGCTGTCAGCTGCCTAAAAGGCAATTGAGGGTAGTGTTTACATTCTTGGGAGGAGAAGTAGAAGGGTTTGTTATTGTTTTGGTCACTGTTGTCCTACACCCTCTGCAATGCTTTTCTTAGTATCTCTCCTAAATTGTGAATGCCTTGGGGTAGAGTCCTCTTCCTTTGCACCTTACACTATGTATTCCTCCCGGCTGAGGCTTTTTATGAGCCAAGGCTACTGTAATGCAAACCTCAGATGTTGATATTCTGTCTGTGCTTCTGTTTAGCTCTCAGATCAAGTGGTAACAGCCTGAGAAAGGAGTTCATGTGTTTAAGAGAATTGTTTCAATCGTATGTTTTGCCCAGGAGTGCTGAGCTATATGGTTCCTGCTAGGAAGATTATCGTTACTTACCGACTCACAAATGCTTTGAGGAATGTGTTTGTCCACGCAATGCTTTGAAGCTAAAAAGCATTGTGGGAGTCCCTCTTGGCATTCCCTGGTTAGGAAAATGAATAGTTCAATAGGACAAAGAGGTGTAACTATGAAATTTACAAATATAGTCCAGTGCTGGGAGCAGAGTAAGGCAGTAAAATAAGCTGGAGTGCTTTTGTTGCAGGGAAGGCAGATAATAAAGTATCTCCTGGGTAGGAAGACCCAGATTCATGTCTCCATCTTTTTCCAAAACCAAAGTCCATACCAGAGTTGGTCTTCTCTTAGTGCCTGTCAGAAGTTTGTTCCCGTCAGGAGGAGAAGCGCAGTGCTCTGTATCGACGCTGAGCAGCAGCAGAAGCTGGTGGTTTAGCAGATTGTGAATGGTGATTAGCAAGCCAGGAGGGAGGTGTGCTGGCAAAACTAGCACTAGGAGGACCACAGGGTCGGTCAAACCTCTGTTTGCACAGTGCCTGCTGTGTTACATTTGTGTATACACGTGGTAATTAGTTGCTTAATTTAATGAGATTGTATATGCTTCTCCTGGTGACATAATAGTATTTGGAAAACTGCTGCTGTCATAGGCTCATCTGCTCTTCCTATGAATGAAGACATTCTGTAAATTTGAGGGCTGTTCCTTACTGGCATTGGGAAGACTTTAGTGCCCACCTCTGTGTTGTTAGTCATGAGCCAAATATTGGCTGTTAAAGCCATGTGTGTTGCAAAAACAGGTGCCAGAGCTGGAATGTGTCTCAGCCTTGCTCCTCCTATGCTGAGGCATCTGTGAATGCTGACTCCTCTGCTGTATTTGGTTGTCTCTGGCAGGTTTTGGAAGTGGTGCGGTCCAACTACGACACGCTGACCCTGAAACTGCAGGATGGACTGGACCAGTATGAGCGCTACTCAGAGCAGCACAAAGAGGCTGCCTTCTTCAAAGAGCTGGTAAGCTGCCTTGATTCTGCAGAATCAATGTCCCTCTTCAAAAGCTTTTGCTTACAGCCTGAGCAGTGGCATTTGGGGTATAGCTGAGCAGCCCTGTTACTCCATTGGGCTGCTGCCAAAGAGAGGGCAGAAATAGGATTGGAACAGACACTGCATCTCTCAACTGATGCTCATATCCCTGGAGCTCTCTGCCCTGCCATACATGGCTGGGGAGGAACCACCAGACTGCTCAGGGCAGCAAGTGGTCAGTCAGCCTCTGTCCCTTCTGCCATGGGGATCCACCGTGCTTTGTGGTGATAAATTTGCATGGTGGAGAAGCTGACTGCTCCCGCCTTGGGTTTGTCATGCAGAACAATTTAGCCTTTTTGCTGTTATTAAGGGGACCACAAAGTATGGGACTGAGCAGGATATGTGATGCTGGAACACGTGCCTGCTCGTTGCTTTCCTCCATCACTCACAAAATACAGGGTTCCCAAGCAAAGACAGCAAAGGCTTTCACTATAAGTGTCTCCTTCTGTCAGAGGAGAAGACTAGTGGTAGGAAGCCCAATGATATTGGGAAGACAAAACTGAGTCCAAATAATTTGGGTTTATGGTTATATTCTTTAGCAAGCCAGCTTGCTCACCATGCTTCAGAGAGCCCTGACACAATATTTTCTTGTCTGATGGCTGCATCACCAGGGAGGCAGTGTTTGTGTAGTGGCTGGTATCTAAGGGGAGCCTGTTTTCCCTCACTTTTCAATCATTACAGCTTCAGTGAAGGGAGAGGTCTCTAGCTCTGGCAGCTTTCTCCACCAGTTTGAGAGCTGATTCTCTCTCCCAGCCTCTGTCCTTGCTGATTGATGAGTAATTGATGCCTGCCCACTCTGTCACGAGTCTGTGTGAGTTTGGGAACGTTATGCCTCCCTCTGTCTACTCTGCTCCAGAGCAAGCACGCCTGAATTGGTTTTGCTTCCTTCTGCAGAATGCTTTTTAATGTTTTTTGGGTCATTCCAGCACTGCCATTGGGTAGTGTACAGGCAAAACCACTTGCAATTGCTTTAATGCCATTCTTGTGTGCTCTTTAGTGCCTCTTTTTGTCTATCTGGCCTGGAATACATGCAGAATCACAGAATCACAGAATGTTAGAGATTGGAAGGGACCTCGAAAGGTCATCTAGTCCAATCCCCCTGCCGGAGCAGGAACACCTAGATCAGATCACACAGGAACGCATCCAGGCGGGCTTTGAATGTCTCCAGAGAAGGAGACTCCACAACCTCTCTGGGCAGCCTGTTCCAGTGCTCTGTCACCCTCACCGTGAAGAAGTTTTTTCTCATATTCAAGTGGAGCCTCCTATGTTCCAGCTTGCACCCATTGCCCCTTGTCCTATCACTAGATGTCACAGAGAAGAGCCTGGCTCCCTTCTCCTGACACTCACCCTTTACGTATTTATAAACATTGATTAGGTCACCCCTCAGTCTCCTCTTTTCCAGGCTAAAGAGACCCAGCTCCCTCAGCCTTTCCTCATAAGGGAGATGCTCCATTCCCTTAATCATCTTGTGGCTCTGCGCTGGACTCTCTCCAGCAGTTCTCTGTCTCTCTTGAACTGAGGGGCCCAGAACTGGATTGCAAAGCAATTTGACCATAGCCTTTCTGTGGCACGGGTGTCTCCTGTTACTGTACTCTGGAAATAAGACACGTTCATGTTTCTGTTGTCAACTGTTCTGTCCCAAGGGCCGCTGCCCTCCTCAGTCAGCGTCACCTTCCCCAGCCTCTTGGCCACATGACTGCTTTGCTTCTTGCATGCCCCACTTTCCGCTTGGCCTGGCAGAGGCTCAGGCTGATCATGCCAATTGATTAAAATGACATTCTCAGTCCTACGATCATCACAGCTACAAAACACTTGAGCTAAAATTATTTTATTCTAGCCCTCTTTTTTTTTCAAAATCCCAATTTTGTATCATTTAAGGATCTGTTTAGCATAACCAGTCCCTCCTCAACTCCCTTCTGAAAATTGCCTGTCCATGTGCCCCTGGGATCCTCTCCTCAAGAGCATAAGAAAGCCTGAATAATTACTGTCTAAATGCACTGATTTGACCCAGTTGTGAATCTGTTTAATCTACATTTCTCTAGATGCCCTGAGAATTGGGACCCTATTAAATGTTCTTTACTCACAGCTACAGAAAATCCCCTGCATTTCATTAAGCTTTTCCCTCAACACAGCGGGAAATCATAGAATTATAGAGTGGTTTGGGTTGGAAGGGACCTTAAAGATCATCAAGTTCCAACCCCCCTGCCATGGGCAGGGACACCTTCCACTAGCCCAGGTTGCTCAAAGCCTCATCCAGCCTGGCCTTGAACACCTCCAGGGATGGGGCATCCACAGCTTCCCTGGGCAACCTGTTCCAGTGCCTCACCACCCTCACAGTAAAGAATTTCTTCCTAATGTCTAATCTAAATCTACCCTCTTGCAGCTTAAAACCGTTATCCCTCGTCCTGTCATTATACTCCCTGATCAAGTGTGTTTCCCCATCTCTCCCGTAGCCCCTTCAGGTACTGGAAGGCTGCTATAAGGTCTCCCTGGAGCCTTCTCTTCTCCAGGATGAACAACCCCAACTCTCTCAGCCTGTCCTCATATGGGAGGTGCTCCAGCCCTCTGATGATCTTTGTGGCCCTCCCCTGGACTTGCTCCAACAAGTCCATGTCCTTTCTTTGTTGAGGGCCCCAGAGCTGAATGCAGTACTCCAGGTGGGGTCTAACGAGAGTGGAGTAGAGGGGGAGAATCACCTCCCTTGACCTGCTGGTCACGCTTCTTTTGATGCAACCCAGGACATGGTTGGCTTTCTGGGCTGCAGGCGCACACTGCCGGCTCATGTTGAGCTTCTCATCAACCAACACCCCCAAGTCGTTCTCCTCAGGGCTGCTCTCAATCCATTCTCCTCCCAGCCTGTATTTGTGCTTGTTTGATCAAATCAAGCTGATACGTAATGATTTGTCTTCAGCAAACCCAGCTGGGCTCCTGTCCGCCGCGCAGTTTTTTCCTCTAGGTGCACAGTAACTGATGGCTTTATTAATTGTTGGAACAACTCATCAAAAAGGCCCTAGTCTGTCTTGTTCTCCCCATATCCTCTTCAAACCAGGTACTTGGCTTTCTTTTTGTGAGGCTTCTGAGTCTTTACTTTGGCTTCCGTTGCTGGTCTGAAGTTGGATAATATCCCCCTACCCAACACATTGTGTTTAACTGCTGAGGTCTGCAGGATTTCATGGAGGGAGAAGAGTGAATGAAGTTGCTGCGATTTTCTTCATGGAATCTGCCAAATGAGCAGGGCTGGTGGTGAACTACAGGTTTCCAAACTCATGCTGGTCTGATCAGGTCTTCCTGAACAGGATCTGTTTGCAAATAATTATTTCCAGATTCTGCCTGGTTTTCTTATCTCTACCTGTGTGATTGCATTAAAGCAAATCCTTCTTGGTGGGGAATGACACACAGGAGCCATTTTCCTTTTTGGCTGCCTTTTCATCTCCCTGTGCTCCCATTAAGTGGGTGAGCAGAAACTTCCCCAAGCCATTCTCTTGGTTCCTTTACGCTTAGAAATCTTGTTCTCACTCCTTTGACGTGCTTTGCTAATGCACTGCTTCACTTCTCTGGCTTTGCCTCAATGCTGCTCTTTCTTGATAATCCCAAAGAAAAATCTGCTTTCTTCTCTCATTCCCTTTTCAAAGAAGCTTTCAAAGGCCTGTGATACTGCAGCCACATTGTGGTGGAAGGTGATGTACAGAGTGTTTCATCAACCGGGTTTTCTGGCCTGTTGTGCTGCCTTTGAGGGGCTTAAGGAAGGAAGTTAGGAAGTTTTCTAACACTTTTTATTTCTTTTCCTTTGAACCCTCAGGGATGTCATTTGAGGTCTGTGCTGCTTTTATAGGATGAATGGTTTGGATGTGAGCTTTTGGACACTCGTGTTGCAGCTGCAGGAATGTGTGGAAAGAGATTCAGCATCTTTCCAAAACATTCACTGTCTTTGAAGTTGGATGGGTTTCAGCAGAGTCTCAAAATAGTCTGATTAGGGATTGATTTCTGCAGGGGAAATTACACTAATTTGACTTTTAATTAGATGTAGTCAGTGTAAACCTTCCTCCCATTGTACAAATTGCTTAAGAGCTGCTTGTTGATTGGAAACAGGTTTCGTTGATGGGACTTGCTGCGAAATAGGAGTGTCTGTACAATGTTGCACACGTCCAGCTATAATGACACAAAACTAGAACTGAATAATGTTTTCCTCACATGGTTAACACTACCACTTCATCCATTCTTTCATTTGCTCATTATTCGCCAGGTGGTGTCAGCATTTAATGCATTTCCTGTTTCTTCAAAGTCTGTGGGTTAAATGTGATCCAAGCTGCTAATAGGGAGAAAACAATTTTAAAAGCTCTTCTGGCCCTAGTGTGCTCCAGCATGCTCCATACAGAAGCAAGAGAGGACGTGTTCTGTGATTTTACTCCTTGCAAAATGAGCATTACAGCTCTGAGCGTACTTTCTGAGGCTGGTTTTGGCCCCTTGTATTCTCGAGAATTCTGGTAGCTTCCAGGCTGGCAGACAGGCCTGGGTTGCCTCCTGCACCGTGAGCTAGGAGGAGTCCTGGGCTGTGCCCTCGTGGATGGAGCAGCTCAGCCAGACCGCAGGAAGCTCCTGAAGTTTATCCTTGTTACAGGCTGACACCTGCTTGTGTCACTGTCTGGTCTTCCAACCCCAAAAAAGAGATGAGCTCTGGCACTCCCTGTGCTGAGCCCTGGTGCTGGAGGTAACTTGATTTAACTCTAATTTGCGCTATTCTTACCTTGTAAGCTGGTTGGATCAGAGCTGTCTGCTTTCTTGTAGCAGAGGAAATGGTGGGCAGAGATTTGTAGAAATGTCAGGGTCATCTTGTGTGGTGTTGTGCCCACTCCTCTCCCCTTGTGTTAAAGCGCACTAAGTCCATCTAGACAGCTCTTGACCAAAGTTTGTGTCTAAGCTCCTTGAAACCTGAAGCTGTCTTCAAATAAAAACAGCTCCACACTGATCCCAGGTGATCTACTCCACTGCTTCACAACCCAGAGATTTAAAGGTATTTCATCTTTTCCGGTGTAAGTTATCTTTGTCTTAAATTAGGCTGAGTATTTCTTGCCCTATCCCTAGGGAGCCAGAGAAATATTACTCACTGTTCTCTTTCTGACCTAATTTTACATATTGGAGAGTGTTTATTCCTCCTAAACCTTTTCTTTGCAAACTAAACAGGCTTAATTTCTTGTGCTCTACTCCATAGCTACAATTTCTGCTAAGCCCTGCATTCTCACCATGTGCCACTCCAGCCTCCCTTTCCTGGCTCGTAGAGTCTACTGCCACATCCTTCTTGGAGACCTTCATGTGTATACAAGTTGGGTATCTTCTACTGCTGGTGCCTGGCCCCTGGCAGCAGTTCCTGAGGCCAGGAGCTCATTTCTGCTGCTTCTTTCTGTTGCTGGGACCCATAGAAATCCTTCTATTCAGAATAAGGATGCTGGCATACACTGTGCAGTATCTGCACCTTTTCTGCAGCCACTCACGTTCCCCAGGGCAGTGGACTCTCCATGTCTGTTTGTTCCCCTGGCATCAGAACTGGCTGGATTGCTGAACTGAGGAGTACTCGGTAGGGCTGGGACTAAATCCTGTGGGGCTGTGGTCTCATGGCAGGGAGACAGCCCACTGCAAACCAGTGTTCTGGAGACCACTTGCAGTGGTGTTTAACATGGGCTATAACCTGTAGTTATCTGACAAGATATGATCCCAAACTATTTCAGCACGGAGTAAGTCAAAAGACACCCAGAGAGGAGAGGTGAGGGGGTGCTCCAAGGGAACAAAGACAGACGGGGTCTCTGCCAAGCATCCTGATGAAGGAGAGTTGGTGGTGTCTTAAGACACCATAAAACTTAAATATTCTGTCTTTAGTTGTAGCCATCTTTGCTAGCTCGGGTTGTTAGGGTCTGTGCAGTGGGGCTCCCTGGGGTTCATTTCTCAGCTTTCCCTCTTAACCTTCCATGCTTTGATTTGCTTCCCACTCTTACACATTCTGCCTTTTTGGGAGCTTTGTGCCCTTCCCCTTTTCTCACCAGGGCACCAAATAGGACCCTCAGCAGTATAAACACTGCTAGCTTGCTCTTCCAGCCCCCAGTGCTGGATTGCTCGTTCTGCTTCTATATAATTCATCCCCCAGTGCTTTTAAAAAGCACAAAACACTAACCAGGTCAGCAACAACCTTACTATCACAGGCTCTGAGTCCCTGGGAACTTTAATCCTGTTGTTTGGATGAGCTTGTGTCAGTTTTGCTTTCTGTCACTGCTGCAGTCACTGACACAGATGATGTTTGACTTTGTTTTCTCGTTGCTGAGTGCAGCTGAGACTGAGCCCAGTCTGGGGCCTGCATGTTTGGCCAACGAGTCTGCAGGCATGAAGGGAGAAGGGAAGCTGCCACGCAACAGGGCTTCCTGGCTCCTCCTTGCAGGTTCTGCAGGTGACCAGAAGTCCAGGCATTGTTAAGGGATAAAGGTGTCTCTTCTTCGGAGACAGCTAGTGAGCCAACTTCAAGTGTAAGGCGCTCAGCACAGATTACACACAGCTGGCTCCAAACCAAGGGTTTTCTGCCAGCTTGGGTGATAATTTGTGCTTGTAGCACAGTAGCATGGCCTCTGTCCTTTCCTTGACTCCGTGTCTCTGGCTCTGCAGGTTCTGGAGCAGGACAAAGGCCATGACACTACAGTTATCCAGGAGAATGCTGGCTGGCACTCCAGTGGGCACTGGTAGAAAATGCTCTTGCAGCTGCACCCTGGAAGTGCTCACTTTCCCCATCACTTTGCCCCAGAACAGGAAACACATCATAGCTCATGCATCCAAACAGAGCATCCTCTGCCATCCCTGTCTCATTTAGAATTAACTCTCCTTGCTGGGACGTCACAGTAGACGTTCCTGTTATTCCACGGAGAATCTAATCCTCAGGGATTTCTTGCTAAGATGGAATCTCAGTGAGAGCTGGCTGCAGCAAGTTCTCTGAGGCTATAACAGCATGCAAAATGGTTTCCTGCTG